CCCCAAAACCCCAAAACCCCAAAACCCCAAAACCCCTGCTTTGAGGATTTAAGTTGGCACCAATTATATAATATATTATTCAAATGTCTTATTTTGAAGTTCAGAAGGAGAAATTAAATCTCTGCCATAACGAGAAGCTTCTTAATGGGTTTATTTGAACACACAAGAATCCAATACTAAGCTATGACAAGGAGGGAGCTCCCTCTTTGAGGGCTCCTTCAAGAAATGGGTTGATATATTTGACAGAGAGAAATATACTATTTTCACCTAATTCAGGAGATAAAGATGATATTATTGTCATACCACTGAATGAGATCACGGAGCTCAAGAAGCAAAACTTCTTCTTTAAACTCCAGAAATCTATTGTCATAGTAACAGGTAAACTATCAGAGCTTTGGATGAATCATATTGGGATTCAGCAATAATACCACATTAAAAATGTTTTCTAACCTTAGGCTCTATAGGCAAAAACAAGCAAGAGTTTTGAGGATTTGGTGATAGAAACGCCGCTTTTCAGTGAATTTGTAAGTTGATGATCTTCTTTGATATTTTATATCCTACTTCTTAGTGAAAATACTTCTTTCGCTTAAAAGTTTTAATTTGAATACTTTAGTGACTCTATGGAGAAACGTGAACCCAGAAGGAGTTAACTTTACTATTAGTTGCAAGTGAGAGATCTGCATAAGCGCGCAGGATAAGACATATGAAAATGAGGGAGTTCACCGTAAGTTTACCTATCTCCCCAAATTTCTCACCTACATTTCCTAAAATTGATCTTGTGCATCGCTGCCGAGGTTATAAGTGAACAAGATTGGCTTCTACTAGTGAAAATTTGGACTTATTTGTAAAATTTATCTGTTAGAATAAATTTTTAAAACAATAAACATGCTGACCAATCCTATAGTGAAGTATAACTGGGGTGAGGAAGAAGAAATAGAGTCATACAGGTCCTCTTTTGACCAAAGGATAGAATTCAAATCGTACCAGGCTCCAAATGTCTCAAAGAAACTTAACTTAGAGTATTCCGATAAAGTTCAGGTAATTCCTTATGAATTATGGTTTAGAAATCTCCAAGGCCCAGTCACTCTCCAACTTCTGCTGAGAGTCCATACCTCTGCAGGACCTTTAAAGGAATGACTTCCTTCACTGAGCAATCAGTTGATCCTAGCTTGGAGGATGCTAGAAAAAGCCTCAGGAGTACCGCTGCTTCAGAATTCCCTGAGATCAGAAAAGATGAGCTTATTGAGGTTGACTTGAGAAGTCTAAAGAAGCTCGGAAAGAACATTACACCAACAAAGAATGAAACTGATGTTCTTGAGGCTTACTTTCCAATGAGTCTTGAGAAGTTCTGGGAGGTCTACTTCTCAGATGACGCAAAGTTCTCCTTCCAAGACTTCTATACTCACCAGAAGCAGAAAAATTTTAAAGTGTCTAAATGGGAATCTGTGAAAGAAGAGAGCAAAGAAGATGCCTCCCAAAAATTGAAGAGGTCCTTTAATATGACCATCAACATCAGTGGTGTTCCATTCTGCTCCTCCTCTAAGTGTATCAGAGAGAGCACAGTGACTAAGTCTGATGAAAAGATTGAATATGAGTCAAGCGTCTCCACTCCTGATGTGCCTTATGGCAATTATTTCTTTCTTAAAGAGAGATGGGTGGTCGGATCAACTGTCCCCAATGGAAATCAGGTCTATGTCAGAGTATTCATGCACTTGGATTTCGTCAAGTCCACTTTCTTCAAATTAAAAATTGAATCTAGGTACGTCCAGAAGTAGTATTATTAGGAATAAAATGTAACTTTTATCAAAAAATTTCTTACTTCCACCAAGCTCACACTTTTCTATAGAGCAGTGAAAGATTACAGTGATGACGCCAAGTTGTGGGAAAAGCTAGCTAGGAAGCATATCCCCAAGCCAAAGCCAATAAGAAAGAAAGCTGCCCCAATTACAAAGGTTGAGGAAAGAAGGAGGAGAAGAAAAACAGCCCCGATGAAGAAAAAGACCTTAGTGGAAGAGGTTGTTATTATGGAGGAAGAAGATGAGTGTGAGACCTGAGAATCTCCTCAGAACTCTTGGATCAACCTACAAGCTATTCAGAAAAGCTTCAATCCTCAATCTATTCACAACTTCGTGTTGATCATCCTCTCAATGGCAGTGATGTACCTGTTTTGGAAGGTTTTCTCAATGCAGAAGCAGATTGAATATTCTCATTAAACTTAGATGAAAACAAACTTATAGTAAGTTAATAGTAATATGGCTTCAATACAAAGTTAAGAAAATGGGGTTTTGGGGTTTTGGGGTTTTGGGGTTTTGGGGTTTTGGGG